TTACCAGGAGAGCAGGCTTGGTGGGTACCTGGGGGGGCTTCTGAGGGGATTTGTAGGATCTGGGGTGGGGTGGGAAGAGGAGAGAGGATCTCAGGTGGGGGAGCAAGTGTGCTAAGGCAGCAGTAGTTTCTGGATCATCTACCCTCTGGGTTTTGGGGCTGAAAGCAACCTGTGGGCACTGCCCTCTCAGTAGGAGCTGGGTCTGTGCTGGCCTTGTTGGTGGGAGGGGGCATTCTTGGTCTAGAAAGCAGGACCCTGGGGAGCCAAGGATTCAGTTTCACTCTCATCCACAGGGGACACCATTTTTTCAGTTCATTTTATGGATTCCGAAGAAAAAGAAGAGAAAGGGCATTAATTATGCCCCTTGGAAGGAGGAGGGGCTGGGCACTGGGCCATGGGCTCTCATTGCCATTTCTCATTTAAGTTAATCTTCATAGCCAGCCAGGTGCAGTTTGGAATGACCAAGCCCATTTTCCACATGAGGACACTGAGGCATGAAGGGTTCCTGGTTCAGGAGGGAGCATTGAATTAGACACACCATCAGCACATAAAATGGCACACTGATACTGGCTTCTGTTGGAGCAGTAAAAAGGTGAGTTTGATCAACAACAAAAAACCAAATAATCCAATTGAAAAATGGGTGGAAGACTTTAATAGACATTTCTCCGAAGAAGACATGCAGATGGCCAGTAAACACATGAAGAGATGCTCAACGTCACTAATTATTAAAGAAATGCAAATCAGAACTACAATGAGGGACCAGCTCACATGGGTCAGAATGGCCATCATTAAAAAGTCTACAAATAACAAATGCTGGAGAGGGTGTGGAGAAAAGGGAACCTTCCTACACTGTTGGTGGGAATGTAAGTTGGTGCAGCCACTATAGAGAACAGTATGGAAGTTCCTCGGAAAACTAAAAATAGAACTACCATGTGATCCAGCAATCCCACTCCTGAGCATATACCCCGACAAAACTATAATTCAAAAAGATACATGTACCCCTATGTTCATAGCAGCACTATTTACAATAGCCAAGACATGGAAACAACCTAAATGCCCATCAACATATGAATGGATAAAGAAGATGTGGTACATATATACAATGGAATACTACTCAGCTATAAAAAAACCGAAATAATGCTATTTGCAGCAACATGGATGCAACTAGAGATTATCATTTTAAGTGAAATAAGTCAGAAAGAGAAAGACAAATACCATATGATATCACTTATATGTATAATCTGAAATATGGCACAAATAAACCTATCTAAAAAACAGAAACAGACTCACAGACATAGAGAAAAGGCTTGTGGTTCCCAAGGGGGAGGGAGGGAGAGAGAAGGAGGCACTGGGAGTTTGGGGTTAGTAGATGCAAACTATTACATTTAGAATGGATAAACGACAAGGTCCTACTGTAAGCACAGGGAACTATATCCAATCTCTTGGGATAAACCATAATAGCAAAGAATATAAAAAAATGTATCTATGTGTGTAACTGAGTCACTTTGCTGTGCAGCAGAAATTAGCACAACATTAAATAAATCAGCTATACTTCAAGTATAAAAAAAAAAAGAGGTGAAGTTGAGGCTGTTCTGCTTCTGGTGTCAGCCCAGTGGGCTGATGTGGGAGCTGGAGTCTGGAGTGAGCTTGAAAGGAGATCTTGCCAATTTCATGTAATAACCCTTCAGTGACCAGAAAAGCATATATATGTGTGCCAAAGACAGGAATTACAAGTGCCTATCCACAGGAGAGTATGTAAATGCATGGCGGTACAGTCTCAATGGCACACGGTGCAACAAAGAGGAGAAAAGAGCTACCACCACCTGCAGCAGGTGGTTGAATCTTGCTTGTAAAGTTGAATGAAAGAAACCGGCCACAAAAGACCACATGGTGTATGATTCCATTTATAGAAAGTTCAAAAAGCAGGCAGAACTACTCTCTGCTGTTAAAAGTCATCATGGCGGTTACCATGGGGTGGTGACTGCGAGGGGCCTGAGGGGGATTCTGGGATGCTGTTCAAGTTCTGGTTTTGATCCCAGTGCTGGGTCCCCCCACCCCTCCCCCCAGCTCTGTTTTATGTGTGCGTGTGTTTGAAAATTTGCAGCACTGCACACTTACGATTTGTATACTTTTCCACATGTGCGATACACTTCAATACCACTTACAGAAACACACAAAAACCTTGTGTGGCTGCCCACTGCACTGGAAAAAAGCCAAACTCCTTTCTGTGGTTTACAAGGGCCTGCTGGCCTCTCTGACATGCCATGCCGTCCTCACCCACCAATCTCCTGCCTGTCAGCCTTCTGGTGTTCCCAACACCTGCCAAGCTGTTTTCCTCCTCAGGGATTCTCACTTGCTGGTCTCTGCCTGGAAGGTGCTTTCCCTGTTCTTGCCAAGACTGCTCCCTTCATCCTCTGCACATCACCCTAAGGAAGTCACCTCTTCAGAGAGACCCTCCTGACGACCCCACCTAGAGTCCTCCACCCACAGCATGCTGTTTGTTTCCTACAGAACACTAGCCATAATCTGCAATTATTTTATTTGTTTACAGTTCATTTTCTGCCTCTGCCAGGAGACTAATAATCACAAACACATGGCACACTTACTGTGTGCCAAGTGATCTTCAAACATCATATTAAGGCATTGAATCTTCACCCCAACTCCATGGGGGGATACTCTTCTTAGCCCTATTTTACTGTTGAGGCAATTGGGGCTCAGAGAGGTTATATAAGTTGCTCACGGTCACACAGCTGGAAAGTAGCAGAGCCAAGGTTTGAACCCAGGCAGCCTGGTTCCAGAGTCCTTTCTTTAAACTCTACACTTTGACAGATCTGTTTTTTTTTCCCCCCTGTAGTATATCTGGGACAGTATGTGGCACACGGTAGGTACTCAATAAATGTTGGGGGAATAAATGAGTGTGCTAAAGAGAGGTGGGGGGGGGAGCTTGGATCCCAGAGTGGGTGTTGAGGGGAGGGATTGTGTAATGGAATCTGGAGTCCCAGGAGCAAGGTAACCAGGGAACCGACAGCAGATGGAGGTTCCCAGACAGCTGGAATTAACTGCAAGCTGTAGTCAGGGCCAAGGCCTTGCCTGGACCTGGGCCTGGGCACATCTTCCCAAGTGGAGCCCACCTTCAGCCTCCCCTACAGACCCTACAAGACACATAGCCATTCACAGAGTGGGCTCTGCCTTAAGGGCATACAACCTGTCTAGGGTCCCTTGAAGGATGGAAGCCCCCCAGGAGGCGATGCTACCTATCAAGTGCCCAGGGCTGTGGTGGCCCTGGAGAGAGTGACATGAATCTTGTGAATCACCTGCCTCTGGCCAGAAACTTTCTGGACCTTGGAACCTCCCCAGGGATAGGAAGGTCCTATGTGACTTACTTGGAGTCTAAGATGTGGCTACAGGGCTGGTCAGTGAAGGCCACAGCCTGTGTCATCATCTCCCTTGAACTTGTCATGAAGTTCCCACACCCCGGTAGCTGGAGCCAGCGCGTCACTGGTTCCCCACCATCTTCTGCACCAGCCTGTCCTGGTGGGCCTGTCGCGGCTGTGAGCCTGCTCAATCCATCTCCCAGTGGGGCCCCTCCTCATTCTTCATCAGCCTCTGGGACAATTGCTACCAGTTCCTGAAGAGCGAGGGCGCCTTAGGTGAGGCATCGCCCTGAGGTCTGGCCCAAAGGATGCTCTACCCCTGCGGCTGCTGGGTGTGAAGTCAGCCGAGCTACAGATCACGAAACTAAGGCCCAGAGAAAGGAAGAGCCAGCCAAGGCTGCGCAGTGGGGGAGTTCTGGAGTCAGGACAGGAGCGTGGGCCCCAAGGCCAGTGCTCCAGCAGCAGCTCCACATTGCCAGGGCCCTGGCAGGGAGTTTGTCCGCTCTGCATCTTGAGACCTGGGCCTCCTGTGGGCCCGAC